GAAGTTTCATCAGTTATTTCGTTTATTGTGTTATGGGTAAGACACAGTCAACTGACATAAAGTTGTGATTTGGGTAGGTCTGTGTTTTCAGAGTAACGTCAACGTTGTTGTACCACAAAAGTGAATCAGAAATTTCAATAGTGAAGAGACTCATTTGTTTGGTTATCTAAGTGTGTGTATTCAATAATGTGTGCATGATATATTTCCATTGTGCAAAAGTACGGAAAAAATAAATAATCAGATCGACATTAAATATAGTTTTAGTGGTATTTGCTTCTTTAAATGATATTTGTATACAATTCAATCAAATGAGCTATTTGATATGACTCAATGGAACGATAATATTACTAATAAATTATGAACGCACTTGTGTTTAATGTATACAGATATTATCTCTTTATTGCATAGCACTTTTTTATCGAATTAAAATAGTTGATGGTTAACTTTGTATTAAAATGAAAAAAAAAAAAAAAAAGATTTTACAAAAAAACGTTACGAGTATTTTGCATTAAATTATTTGAATTTGCTGTGAAACTTAATGAATGAGCAACCCCCTGTACGTGTATACGTATAAAAAAGGGTAATGGAATAGATAACCAAGAGTATAGGGTGGCTTCGTCAAGGCAATTTTAATGGATCTCGGGCTCGCTCGTAAAGTGCACGCGTTTCGTGGTTGGAAATCTCTGACAAGGTACGCGTCGTTGTATGGAGAGTTTACGACTTGATTAAAGAATGACTCTGATCGCATGATATTTTTTCCCACGAATTTAGGTTTATGAACACACATGTAGCTTGAAATTTGGTCAAAATTATAAATGACAACTGTGGCAAGATTTCACCTGCTGAAAACACTTTTTCAACCAGGTCATCGATGGATCAATGAAGCTTGTCAAACGTCGTGCTGCAAGCTTAGTCTGGAACAATATCCAGGAATACAGAATTACAGTAATTTTTACCACAAAATTATGGTAAAGTTAAGGCAAAACGCCATGATTTTTGCCACTTATTTTACGAAGATTAAAGCTTTGAGGTCTCTTGGTTTGAAAATACCAGTGTGCGAAATGATTACTCGCGATCACAAAAATAGTCCCTCGTACACGTTGCTAGAGTTGCGTCATATTACACTCTGTGCAAATACTTCTATTGTGAAAAATATCGCTACTGTTATTTTAAAAATTGTTCTACAGTGTAAGTATTATTTATATTCAAAGTTTTTGCACAATGGCCTAATTTAAACATGATCAACCCAACCACGAAACGAATAGAGAAATTAGAAGAAAAAGAAAAATTCGAGGACAAAAGGGCTGCAGTATACATCCATGCGTCACACTACTGTACACACGTACGCTCCCAATATATCGACGACGTTGATGATCGATCGAATAGCACGCAAGAGCGCTTCTTGATGCAAAACGCCCAAAGCGGTCCACCCAAGTATAGCTAAATTGTTCCAGTAATGAGGCGCGCTGCTGCCACCGGTGCGNTACTGTTATTTTAAAAATTGTTCTACAGTGTAAGTATTATTTATATTCAAAGTTTTTGCACAATGGCCTAATTTAAACATGATCAACCCAACCACGAAACGAATAGAGAAATTAGAAGAAAAAGAAAAATTCGAGGACAAAAGGGCTGCAGTATACATCCATGCGTCACACTACTGTACACACGTACGCTCCCAATATATCGACGACGTTGATGATCGATCGAATAGCACGCAAGAGCGCTTCTTGATGCAAAACGCCCAAAGCGGTCCACCCAAGTATAGCTAAATTGTTCCAGTAATGAGGCGCGCTGCTGCCACCGGTGCGTGAACACACAAGGCCAATGGGTAATTACGTCGTCGGTCAACCCTCAGCCATCCCTCTGGCCATCACGATCACCACCGGAACCACCAATGGCTCCTTCGTATCTCCCACTTGCAGCCAAAAACAATAACCTCGACCAATTTACGTTCACCCCCAGGAATTTCATTCTCGATCAGTCAAGGCTCGATGCTGAAGATTTTTTTTTTATAATATGTTACCAAAAGAAAACCACTTCTTTTCCAAAAACATTCGTAAAGATCCACTGATGTTCAGTCTTGCAGTTTTCTTGTTGTGATACATAAATCTGTAACAAATTACACAGTGGCATTTAGATGGTTTTCTAGAGATGATAATTTTTCTTTGAAAATGCAAGTTATAGCTCAGGTACATAAATAAACATCAAGATTAAAAAAAAAAAAAAAAAGATGCTACAGACCTTATTTAGTTAGAGAACCAAACCTAACTTGTAGATATTTTGTTTAAGACATATTATGTTATATTGCATATGATTCAGACTTAGTGTATACTACGATGAAACAAAAATAGGTAATCAAAGAAATAAAATTTATATTGACCCCATGAAAAGATTAGTTTGGATATTTTATAAAATCATTGTCAAATTCAACTGAATGTAAATGCACGCTCAACATTAATCGGACAATTTTCGAAGGCCTGACAACACGTTGACTCGTACTACTTTCGCGCATGTCATTAACTTTGTACTTTGTATTTATTTGCGTTTTTATCATGCGTTTTAAATTTCATGCATGCGTTACAATGTAGAAACAAAAAAAAGAGTAATAGTATTTACTTAACAACCGGAATAATAATTAAAACTTTTAAAATGAAAACTCTCTAATGGCGCACCCGGTAGCGAAGGTAAATTAAAAACGTCAAATAAAAATTTTACATTAAACGGGAGCATAAAAAGAACTTATTTCCCAACGTAAACTCTTACGTTAGCCTCTGCCAAACCGATAAAATAATATTTCTTGTTAGCAATGCAGTCAACGCGCAACCGTTTTCCATTTTAGCCTTATCCATTAATTAAAAAGACACTCGACACCGAAAATTATTCACCAATTTTTAGCCAATGCGGCGAAATACGAGGCACCGCGCCTTGCGTAAGAATTTATCGGCAGACGGAGGCCGTCGGTTTTGCGTGGAAAACGAGCCACAACCGGGACAAACAGGAAGTATCGAGAATTAATTTTTCTCCGTGTCCTGCGGTTGTATCCTGGAATCGAAAATAAAAAAAAAAAAGGAAAAACAAATAAACGTGTAGTGCAGCACGGGAGAAGATAGAGAGGGAGGGATTTAATTGACCTCGTTTCTTTCTCTCTCTCCTTTTTCTTTGTCCTCTAAACTTTTCGGGAGCTCCTCGTTTTTTAAACGGCTGGGACGCGCTGGGCCTAATTTGTTACCAAAGTCGAATCCCGGCACTTTGTATACAGTGCACACAGAGACACATGGATGAGGGTACGAAGAACGAAGGTGTACGTGTCGATCGATGGCTCAACCATTGCTCGCCGTGCGCCCTGTTTGCTTTTAATATTTGCTCCAGAATCCGAAACGCGACAGAATGAATATCGCACACGTACACAAAGGTGGTGCAGAGGGAAAAAGAAAGAAGAGCTGGGAGAAAAAGAGTATATATCGTTAATTGCCGAGGGAGGATGCCATCATTGTTTTTTTTTCCCCCCCTCTTTGCGGCAGCTGAGGAATTTCTACTTTTGTGTGGTCTGTTTCGTTACCTTCTCCATTTTTTTTTTCCTTTTTCTTTTTTTCTACTTTTTTTTTAATTCTTCTGGAAAACACAGCAGCTTTAGTCGGTGGTGGGATCCACATCGCCAAGAAAAATTCGCGTCTCGGACGGAGAGAAGTAAAGAAACGAGGCGGTCTACGGCTAATTCCGTATACTGCAGCCAGTCTCCTGCTGTTCCATCCTGGTTGTCTCTTTTACTAGTTTCTTTTGCCTGTTTTTTCTTTCAGCTTTCCTCGTCTGTGGTATTTGCGTTGGAAAACTCAGATGGTGAAGTCCGTAAGCTTGTGCTCGTCGATTTTCTCAAACCTCGAGAGATGAAGGCAGAAAAATTATCGCTGGTTCTCGTGGGGAGCGTTTTTTAGATTGGAAATTAGAGTTTTGTCTTTAACCAATAGAGTTGAACTTAAAGAATCTTTATTTGTCGGTGGAACGTAACTCGTGATTCCAATCGAAATATTTTATTGATGATAAGTTTTATTAGCTCAATTCGTTATTTGTACAAACAGGAAATTCCATTTCTATTCTTGACTATCCACGCTTTTAAGTCTTGGACGGATCTTCGAAAAATTTCTTGACCATTCGAATTACCTCATCCAGAAGTCTTTCACTACAAAAAAAAAAAAAAAAAAAAAATCATCCTCTTTTTGTCAATCGAGACTTTTAGGTAGGGGAGAATTTATGCAATAACATCTATGATAATAACGCGACTTAAGTTATACCATTGCATACAGAGATAAGTTCATTTAACAACGTACAATAAATGATATCAAAATAATATATAATCACCTTGCTATGGACTACGAAATACTGTTCAAAGGTGTACAACACATAGTTAATAGGTGGTATGCAGTGTAATAACACGCGACAAGTCGACGAATTACAGAAACGCAATATTCAACCACCAAATTGCTGATTAACTACCAATTTGACGTTATCAAGTTTAAGAGGCAAACGTAACAGTAATTTTGGGAAAGTAAGTCCTTGAGAGCGACAAATAGTTTCTAACGAATAAAAACATAATTTACTGGTTTGTAGGACACATCTACGAGCTCCGCCCTTTACTTCGAAGTATGGGCGTAGTACTTACCCAACACAGCTAGATGTAATCATGTAAATGAGTAGACATTGCAGTCCATGAATAGCTGAAATTTAGAATTTTAAACAGAAAATAAGAATAAAATAAAACAATTACTAATATTACTGTTGTTATTGCTAAAAAATGTAATACCGAATGAAATTTTTATTTAAAAAAATAAATATTTTCCATAAAAATCTTTGTAATTACATGTCACTATGATTATTATCAAAAAACAAAACAAAATAAATTAAAATAGAAAATCCATAGCAGTAATACGTTGAGTTCTGGAAATGATTTTTTTTGTTTCAATCGATGATTGGATATCAAAGTAAGAAAGAAACTTTACCTTTTCTTTTAAATTTGACTTTATTTCCTTAATAGAAACATTAACAACAAAAACACAATTTCACAGTGTAGAAAGTTTACCCTACGCATTTCATTTTTTACGTTTTTATAGATAGTACAGTAACTGTTTATTCGGTGTACAGACAAATCAGACATTTGGTTGCTTGGTACAAAGTAATAATATAATACTCTTTACTTAAAAGCGTCATCGTAAAGACTTAAATTTTTTATACCAATTACATACCTTACAGTCTATTTCATGAAACGTTTTTTTCTGCAAATGTAAGAGTGATACGTTGCCAGGTAAGGTATTTATAAAATAAAAATAAACAAAACAAACATGCGTTAAATCGAAGTCAACCGATCGTTGCTTGGCTCCGCCAAAGTGTTTACTCTCTACATAAATAAAATTTATTTACACATATCAACAATTTATTCATCGTTATTCGGCTAAAATGTCCCAATGGATCGATACAACTCATATATATATATTTATATACGTACGTTTTTCTTTTAAATATACATGTACCCATTCGTGAAACTTCACTCGACAAATCGTTTTCATGTTACATATCGTCAGTCTAACAAGATCGCTCATTTTGTTTTTTTTTCCCCCATTTTTTAGTTTCGTAATGCAACAATTTAGTCACTCCGGAAAGTCGAAATATTTACAATCTTAATTCTAGAGGTTAATGCGCACTGCTCTCGTAACTCGACAACGTAAGACGATGGGAATGGGATCGTGTTTTAATATCATGCGACGTCAAATGATTGTGGCTGCGATGAGAAGAGGGTACAGCCCTCGAGTCATCGCAATTTCCTGCTCTCCATTGTACACTTGCGCAATGAAAACGCCAAGTCCAACTTACCCCAGGCTACAGCCGTTTGTGTAATATGTTTTTTTTCACGCAGTAATAAACAAACAAAAAAGATCAAGATCAACAAAGGCAAAATATTTCGAATGAAAAGAGACAATAAGAAAACCCAAAACAACTTTTTGGCATAATTTATTTATGCTCTTAATATTAATAAAACGTAAGCCACGATTTCTAAATGCCAATTCTTGGACTCGATAGTCAGCTCTCAAAACCCAACCACAATGACTCTTTGTTCCGAGGCTTACTAACTTTCTTTCGCCAAAGTACATAGTTTATGGATACGAAAAAAAAAAGTCAATTTCCTGCAAATAAGAAAATGAAATAAAAGAAGTTTGTTGAACTCGTGCACGTACACGTATACGGTAAAACCGAAAATACTCATAGCAACGGCAAATCCACGTCACACCACACAAAGGCTCTTTCGCAGACGTATTCACACATATTCTCGCTTTTCTTTTTATTTTCATCACCGTCTCAAACTCACGCGTGTATGCAATATTCATATATACGTATACTGGACAGTGTCGTGGGGGGATAAGAGGGTAGTTTGGGAAGATATTGGGTTCGGAGTGTTAATAACACCTTTTTGTCCACATCTGTATGTCCCGACACGCGTCAGGTATACACATGGTATCCTTTTGTTACTCACCATATCACGAGGGCGTACACATAATATGTGTATACGCGTGCTCGCTCGGTATTCGGGAGATATCACGGGAAGGGAGTAGAGCGCGCGGTAATTTAAGTTTACGAGCCACGAAACAGCTCGCACGAGTCTCTGTCACCGCGGGATGTGTACGTGCGACCCAGGCAGGCGCAAACACCACCAACTTGGGCGTAAAATCGCCGAATTGCCGAGAGAAAGAGAGAGAGCGCCAGGTCACTAGTTGGATCCTCGAGTGCGCACTTTTCCCTCTCTCTGTCCGTCCGCATGTGCAAGCCTTGATCCACTGTACACCGCATTCTGGTCGCGCAGCCCCGGTAATCATACATACGAGAGACTAGCTCGACGTCCGATCCATACACACACACACTTATATTATATCTTTATGTAATCCAATGCTTAACATTACAGGTAATCTCGTCCTTTGTTTTTTTTTCCGCTCGATCAACTTCATTTCGCGCACCCGCTACGTACGTACTTTTTTTTGCTGTCGTTTGTAGTAACCCTCTTGTGCTGGACACGTGATCGCTTCTGCTCTCGGTCCCGTGCTTTTTTTTAAACTTGGGTGGATGGCAGCTGGGAGCTTTACACCGAGGATATGTACAAAATGATGAGCGACACCAAAAGACAGCTCGATGATAGAATAGGTCCGGCCGTGCCCGTTTGCATAGCTTCCGGACGCTCACCTGCAACACACACACACACAAGATGAAAAGTTGGCCCCTACACATTGAGATATTGGCCTCGAGTGCTACACAGAGGGGACGAAATTGGGGGGTTATTGGGCGAGGGTTGATGGAAGAGGAGGAGGATGCACGCGCCGCGCGATATATCTCTGATGGATGACTCGCTGCTCGGAGAGGGGTGGGCTATTGTGTGGTGGTACAGGGGAAATAGCTGCTGCTGCTGCTCTCTGCTGTCGACGTCCGACCGCCAATATTGGCTTTGGAAAATTTGTTTTCTTTCTTTGTCAATGTTGACGTTGTAATATCGCGTAGTTCGGGACTGTGTGGTTTCGGGAAAAAAATGCCCACCCCCCCCCTACCCCCATTGTAAGTGAATTGGATTACGTGACGGCGCAAAAAGCGTGATTAGTACCTTTCATCGGGGAAGGATAAGCGAGACGAATCACCTACGGCTGCGGGTGATTTCTCTATCGTTAAGAGGGTTGAGTTTAACTTTTTCGTGCTTGCTGTTTTTCCTTTGTTTGTTTTTTTTGGAATTTTACGAAATAAAGTAAAATGGAAACGTTTACTGGGATTACCTTCAATTTGTCAATATCTAAGCGAAATTAATACAAGTTGAGTTACATTTTTCAAAACTGACAACTACGGCTAAGTGAATGCTGGCATTTATTCTCGTATACGTATGAAAAAACGCAAATCAATCGTAATAGTATTTCGTGAGTACCGTTGCTTTTTTCGGTCGTCAGTTACAAAGTCAACGGTAATGCTTTTACTGTATGTGAAATTGTATTTTTATAACGAAACAAAGTGACTTTATTGTAACAACAACAAAAAATAATAACAATAGGAGCCAAAACTGAGAGAAAGTTTGTTATGTTTTATATAAATAAAATGGTGTGTACAAAAAAAGACTGGTATATTTTAAATTTCGTTATTGGAAAAAGAAAGAAACGGAAACAACTTGCTACCAACCGACTTTTTTGTTTATTTATTTATTTATTTTTTTTAAATAAACAAGAGTATTATCAATTATTGAAAAACGTTATTTATGAGTATTGTATGAGCTGTTATTTCATATGTTGCACGATCATTTAGCAATGAAAAAATTTCAATTTCAATTTGACATGCTGCGATCAAGAAGCTATCAGTTATCTATACTAATGTATTAAACGATCGTAAATTTTCGTGGTTACAGTAGAGCATCTCTAAGCATAACGTAACAAAGTGGAAAAAAGCACAGGAAGAAGAATACCAAAGCGAATAAACGGAATAAAATGTAAATCGATAAAGTCAATGCACGATATTTGAGTGTCTTTCTCGAGGTGCTCTCGCCAGCTGGTATTGCAGGGAAAAATCCTTTCCCATCCGTATTTTCCATATCGTCGAGGCAATGGCGTCACCTCACGTGTACTGCCATTTTGAATGAAATTGCTCGTACAACGCTCAATTCTGTACTCACTTTACACGACAGTCGCTTCGAATTTTCCGAACAAATCGCTGGTATTTCGATTCTTCGTTTGTTTCGTTTGGAATATTGAACGTGGCGACGAATTTGTCGACGTTCTCGCAATCAAAAGAGTCATTCATCAATTCTACCGTAGCAGTAAAAACACAATCACGAAAAGGATGATACGATTCGTACATAAATGACATAACAATTGTATGAATTCATTAGGAGGTAATGATCAAATTCCACTACAATTGACACTTTGTAAGTTACTAAAGAAATAAGCTATTTTTTCAGCTAATTAGAACTGACTCCCTTCATTTTGTTCATACGACTAATGTGATTCGTAAAATCTACATCATTTTCAGTACCATCAGATTGTAAAGTGTAGGCAAATGTATCTTTCCTAGAAAATGGATACGCCTAAGACTTTGGAATGTAACTTCCGGTAACCTGGTTAATACAAAAAGAATTTGTATAGTTACGTTAGAGAGGAGCTACTAAACAGTAAAAATCGTATACAAAAAAAATTGATAACTTTTTCAAAATTCATTTACCGTTTAAAAAAAAAACCCCTGTAGACTGACGTGCGCGGAGAGGTATGAAAATTTCATTTTAAAAAAATTTTGCAAGTAAGTAGTTTTAAATGCAGATGACAAAAAATTGTTGACTAAGCCCTGAAAAATTCACAGTAACTCGTTTCGATGTACATCGCATAGCTAGTAAGTCCCCTTGTTCACGTTCAACTTCATTATCTATGTACATTGATATATAGTACTTGTATGCACATCAAAGTCATAATCAAGAATGAAGTACCCTTTTTACTTTGGTGATCCCCATCAAAAGCTACAAAAACAAACAAAATTTAAATACAAATCGATACGTGCTCGTATAAATTCAAATTTTGTCAATTGAACTTTTCATCCATTGTCCATCAACGATGGAGTATAAAATCAAGCAAACATATTTTCACAGCAAGGCTGGTCAAGCTCAATCAAATCACTCCATCACTAGGCACCTTGACTTAGCTACAAAAACCAACGACAGATTCGTATTGTAAATCAATCAAATCGTGTGGCATCTCTAGTACAAGGATTTACAGGATCACTTTAAAAGGAATCTTTTATCTTTTATCTCGGAGCTCCAGAAATCCCAACTCAAAGTTTCACCAAACCCCATTCCCCAGAAGCCATGTATATACACTCTCTGAGTCAAATACACAATTAGACGGTCAGCACGATAGACATCACAAAAAATCCATGCATAAATTCATGGGGTCAACCGAATTTTTATTATTCCCAATCAAACAGTTTTACATCCGGCAAATCGTCTGGAAAAGCCAAAAAGCGCTCGCATAATCCGCAACAAAATTTTTCCATCTCCCACAGATATCCGCGTAAGCTTCCAAGTTCTCTTTATCTCCTCCCTTTCCTCCTCTGTATGTATACAAATCAAGACCGAGCGAAAAATCGTGCAAAGGCATCCCCGGATCTTCTCACCCCCCCCCCCTTTCCACCGAATCCTTGAAAAAACAACAGAACGTCCATCCATCTCTCGCAAGCGGGTCAAAACTGTTGGGATGTATCCCCATCGCGATGTATACGTACCCAAGCGAAACACCGTATATACACAGACACGCCCACGCATTATGCTAATGCGCGCCAGACGCGGGCCCGCAAAGTTTGCCCTCCTCTTACCCCCGGCGTCTGAACGTGAATCGACGTCAAATCTACTAGTGGCGCATCTCATTCTTCCGCGAGCCCTGGAAACTTTATTCGTATTTTGCATTCCCTCTGCCAAGCTCGGTCGAGGAGGTCGAGATGCAGCAGCTAAGGAATAAAGAAAAAAAAAAAAAAAAAAAACAACCACGAGGCAGTCGGAGAGAAGACGACCCTTTGCGCGGGAGGAATTGAAAGATGCCTCGAGGAACTCCTTCTGTTTATGAGATATCTCTGTGTTGCTGCATCAGCTCCACGGGTGGTGGGACGATGGATTTAATTAACCCAGGTCCTTTTTTTTTCTCTCACCCTCGGCTAGAGCTACTTCTTTTATTTCTCCCTCCTCTGCCATTGTCGTGGAGCTCGATCTCTTCATTCACTCCGGCATTGTTGGAGGGTCTCAACCCAGGGACGAAGACGAATATCTTTTTTTTATTTATTCTCTCTTTCGTGAGCCGTTTCCCAGGGGGATATCCTTAATTGGGATCTTTTTTTTTTTTTTTTTTTTTCAGGGGTGGGTGAACGAGCTTTCATTCGACCGTGAAATGTTGCGAGCGTTCAAACGGGGTTAAATAGTTTTTTTTATGACAATTGAAATTTTACTACCTCTGATGTTTGATAAGTTCTTACTATGGAGCAAAGAGGACGGAGGAAGCCCTTGTGTACTCCTCGCGACACGAAGGAAGCAGAGGCGGGATTGGGGTTGACTGGAGAGCCACGGACTCAATTTATCCGTACGATTACTCGGTCACCGTGACGAGGAAGAAAAAGAAAAAAAAAAAGAGAGAAAAGAAGCAGAAGAGCGAGAAATGACATACCGGATCTCGCGTCATCCGCAGCAGCGTGGCCCGAAGATGACTGCGCGCAGATAAGAGAGGAGGGAATATAAACTCCCGGCGCGAGGACAACGTTTTTTCTGCAAAACAAGTCAGAACGCAATTCCGGTCGCTTCCGGCCACACCCGCGCCGTGTCGTCATTCCTTTGGACTTTGCTGCCGTTTCTTATCGCTAAATTCTATAGCTCGATGCAGCCAGACATGTGGAAAAAAGGGTGGAAAGATGCACGCAGGAATTTTCAATTTGAAGCTACACAAGCTAGCCCTTTCATCTTTTTCCGGGGGGTCAAAGCGGGTCTGGGCGCTTCGGTGATATTAATATTACGGGCTACTTTGAATGTATTTTCTTTACACTTTTTTTTCGCAAGTACAAAAAGCCCTGCGATCTAGTTTTTCCAAAACCGGTTCCAGCCACTAAAAAAAAGAAATCCAATCAATTAATCAACATCCACGTGGGTTTTTATCCGCAAATGACAGTCGGGCATCCAAAAACAAAAAAAAAAAAAAAAAAAAAAACCCAATCCCTCCGTGTTTTTCAAAGCTCTCCGAAAAAAATTGACACAAAATCTCATCTCCAAAAAACCCAATTTCCCTACTTGTTCCATAGCTCCGAGAGTACCAGATATCGTTTTCCATTTCACGGTGGCAAAGCCGCGAACCATCGGCAGATGATCCCGTGGAGAAACAAAACTTTTTCAATCAGCCAGCGTGGGATGTGCTTGCGATGAAAAAAAAAAAAAAAAAGTTAAAAAACTCCCCCGGCCTATGTATACCCAGCCAAGGGCAACAAATCCTTTTTTTCGCGAAGCACGTGTGTGGCCGTACCACCAAGTCAAATGGATCTATTAGCCAAGAGGTGGGCGCACGACACGCAAACAAACCGTAGTCGAATGTACGTACAACGGCAGCAACACAGCAGCGCCCACCCAATGTACAGCTCGGGGAGTGTCCGAGGGCCGATAATAGCTCGCCGGAGCGAAACAAAAGCCAGCAGCGGCGCACTTGATTTATATACGTCGGGTAGGTCGCACAGGTGGTGGCAAGGGTATGGGCATTACAAGGACAACACGAGAAACAGAGAAGGATAGGCGGAAAAAAGTATATCATTGGTATACGTACCAGTGAGCACGTGGACCCTGATCGAGGAGACGTTGGCGTTGCTCGGCTTGCACTTGTACTCCCCGGAGTCGCCGGGCTGGGCCGCCTGTATGAGGAGCCACGAGGTCGTGACGTCGCTGCCCTTCTCCGTGATGACCGAGACCCCGCCCCTGGGACTGTCGTAGCTCATGACCGCGTCGTTGTAGTACCAGAATATGAAGGCCGGGGGCTCCCAGCTGAAGTGGATCGTGCAGGTCAGGTTTATCGTGCTGCCCGCGCCCACGTAGAGCTCCGGGCCGCCGAGTATCGTCGCCGTGGGCACTGCACGTTGCGTTGGACAAACAAAGCAAACAAACACACGCGCGCCAGAGCACGTGCGGATCGTTAATAAGCGTAGGCTGTTTGTCGATGGTGGTGGTGGGGAAGGGGGGAATTTTTTTTTTGTTTTTCTTTTCGAATCGACGTGATGGATGTGGGGAGGTCTCGGTCTGTTTGAATTTGATCCAACTGTTTTGTTTGCTCTTGCCGCATGTGTACCCACTTGGCTCGTCGAGCTGTAGGTGAGAGGTGGATCAAGAGGGGGGGGGGGGAGAAAAACAATTATACTGTACGAGACCAAGGATCTTTATCGCTATTGGGACTCGGTGGGGCTGCACGAGACACCAAGGGTTATGTTGATGGTGTCGTTGTTTTGTCCGTGTCACAAAATTACTTTGCATTCGAATATAATATATACGAGTATATTTATTTTTATTCCAAATTAGACGAAGTGCATTTTTCATCCGCTATGCGGCGTACCGTCACGGCGCCTGCGTCAGTAAACCCGCAAGAGAGATGATTGAGCTCAGTTTATAACTTGCTCTTAATCAGCCTCATCACCAGTCTGTGTCGAAAGCCAAACCTACATCTTCCTCTGGTAGGAATCGATATGGTTCAGATCATACCAAATGATGACTATAGGACTCGGTGGGCAATCCCTCTCAGGACGACCCGATCTAAAAAATCGGCAAGTCCAACGAAGAGGGGTCAACACCAGAGCCAAGCTCATTCGGTATAATCGCAAATAAATGCAAAGATAATTCCCAACCCCTTGTTCATCTCGTGACTATTAAGTTTATAGTTTCTCCCTGCTGAAGACCTTAAAAGTGGTCACACGATTGAACCTAGTCATTGCAAGTGCTTAATTACCATTCTTCTTACTAGATTAATTAGGTGTAGGGGGTAAATAACCAATTACTGCGCACTCGATGATATCTGCAAATAACAAAAACAGACTGAAAAATTTGGGTGCTTGAATAGTGTAATAAGCACGGACTTCAATAACGTTCAATCCAAAATCATACTTTACATCATGACATTTATAATTGTTTAACTGAGTGACTCTAAACGAATCTAACCTACAAAACTTTGTAGTCGTGCGTAGTGATTGGTGCGCAGCAATTGGGTCTAGGGCTTCAGCATGAAAACCTTATGGGAGATACCCGCGCAGTAATTGGGGGCGCAGCGACTAGTGATAATTTTATAACCGTGCGCAGTAATACCAGCAAGTGATATCAGCACTAAAACAATTAAAAAAAAAAAAAAAAAGTTACTCAACAGAAAAATGTTTGTCGTTTTAATCGCACAAGATGCTGCAGATAAAGATTAAGTGAAACTGGTTCAATTTACATCGAAAAACATTGAGAATGGGTGTAGTTTTTGGGTCATTTACCCCTACGTGTGATTCGATTTCAACTTAGGAGTTTTGTCTAGCTTTTCGAAATAATAATTGAGACAATATGAGGCATTAAGACAACATCAAGATTGTTTTGGGGAGGCCATCCATAAAGTACGTGATCGAGGTAAGGGAAGGGGACGTTTGACAAAAGGCTGTACTGAGCTACGTGAAGGAATGGAAAGGTCAATAAAACAAGTGAGCAGGTTTGACTTTGGATTCCCTCATAATACTAATCTTCATGTATATTGAATGTTTATTTAAAAAGAAAGTTTTATTGATAAAAAAAGCTAATAACGAAACACTTGAATCATTATTACTTTTTTTTATTTTCACGAAAATTTTCATCTCAAACAATAAAAACAGCTACGTTGTGATGAGGTTGAGAGATGGTAAGATATAGTAGGGTATAAAAACAGCTACATTGAGGGGTAGGTAAATTTCGACTAAAATTAGACCACGTAGTTAGTGGACGTCCCTATGTGAAAGTAAATAATTTGAATAGTAAATTGTACATGTTTAAGTGATCTCTGAAAATAAGCGCTACAGAAACAAAAGTTGTGAGAACGTTACTAATTATCTTTCACATCTTATGGAAAATATTTTGAAGAATAATTAATTTAATATTTTATAATTCTAAAAAGATTGATTCTTCTACTTGCTTTTAACACAGGCACTGCCATCAACTAGCACAGCCACTATGAATAGTTAAAATGAAATATCCGCGAGCTAATATGTCGGGAAGATTGATTTGTCATCCTGTTTACCAAGATCTTAGTTCCTATCTTTACCTTGTTTTGTGTTCCTACGTGGGTTAATTTAATCCGATACAATCTAAAGTTATCAAATTTTTAAAAGCTTTATCTAAAAATGCAAATACAACATTAGCATACTAATAAAAGATAAAGTATTGATGAAAAAAAGCTGCAAATGTTTTTTCTCAAGTTATAAAATATTAATTTGTGGACATTTTTAATTTTTGGCAAAATTTATTGAATCATAATTTAAACCAAGAATTTAAGATAGTATAGAGACAAAACAAGATTGGATCGTATCAAAAGAAAGAGATATAACATTTTTTTTAGTTTTTTTCAAGTTTTCAAGAACAATATTATATTTTGATGAGTTTTGTATTGTCCCGACTCTCGTGCAGCCCTAGAACTTGGCATATTGATACGTGTGAATAAATTAATTTTGCGAACGTTTTACTTGTATTACTTTGATAATAATGACAGTTTTTCATGATAAAAACATGAATCATGTTTTAACTACTTAAAAAAAGAGCTCTTGCATTTGATTGAAAGTTAGTTGACTGATGAGACTTGTTTTAAAAAGTTGAAAGACGAAGTATGGAATCGTCTTTGTCACCATAAGCTAGATGTACAAAAGTTGAAATGTTATGAATTTATTACTTTTTTACATTCTATTTTCGTTGTTTACACAGCTTTTTAAATACCTTTATGGTAATTATAGTTATTTAAACATCAGATTTCCTATAAATTAGATGAGTTGGAAAATATTTCTTGTAGTTGTCTGCTGCATAATACCGAAGTAACTGTAAGGTCAATGATATTCATTCCAATGAGTTCCAGATAAGCTTTTAACTGACAATAGAGGATTGAATACATAAATATTCAAAGTGGCGTTACGTTGTTTAAGCATTTTTTTACATCATTTTGCATTAGATTTTATTTTATTAGCTGATGAAATTTTTTTTTTTTTTTTTGGTGTAAAAATGGGATGTTATAAAAGTCTATTTGACAACAACAATTCCAAATTTTTTTTTATTACGATTACTGTAAAATAGTTATAAGTCCAGTTTTGTATTTTAATATGTCTTATATAGCGATGGAGTTGAAATAATAATATCATTAATGATACACTTAATCTATAATGAAAATAATTTGTTATGTTGTTTTTTAACTGACCAAATTTCTTTGGTAATGATATTGAACAGCGCTCATGTGGCGAACACTGAATCTGGAATCTGTGTCCTACCAAGGGTGCGACAAATGTCTAAAAAATTACGAAAAATGCCCCGAGGTAGAAGAAAGTGTTTTTATTGTTATTACTGTTGTTATTTAGTTAAACATCAAAACACGCAATTGCTTTAATATCATTAAACTTTTAGCTATTGTTAAAAAATTATTGTTTTTTTTATGACGAAATTCTAAATTACAGGAAAAGTGATTATTATTGATGTCTTATGATAAATTACATGTTAATTACACATATGGTTTTTTGTTTGTATTTGTTTTAAGGAATTTTCTTTTTGTTTCCATTTTGTGTACAGGGACATGATAAATGTTTATCTGAATAACGTCAAATTCAAAATTAGTTGAAGTCAAAAATGTTGATTATAAAACAAAAAATGAGAACAAAAGAACTTTAAAAATGTTAATGATATAAAAAATACGAGCTATATGTTCGTAGTGTAATTGTTAATGCGAATCTGTGTAAAATCTATAGTTTTTGTTCAACAACTTCATTCACATATCAACATAATATCCAAGTAAATAAACATTAATAACCATTACGGTGACGAAAAAATTGAAAAGAGCTCGTCTGACCTGTTATTGAGTCATACTACTGAAACCGCCTGATTCATTGTTTTCACCGTGAAAAAACTACTGTAAAGTGTGCATGATGATATGATTCGACTTACCAACGACGTTGAGGTAGTACTGGTGGGCTTTGACTGGAATCGTCGAAATCTGACACTCGTAGATGCCCTCGTCACGCTCTTGGGCCCACTTGATCGACAGAGTCCACTCGGACCACTCGTTACTCAAGCCTGTGTTCGGTTTGTGCAGCGCCTGAAACCGCTCGTCGCTCGTGTATGTGTACGCCCCCGCTGTCAAGATGTGGATGTCCCGATGTCTCACCCAGGACACCTGCACAAGAGAACTCGACGTGTTACTGTTACTCGAGTGTTTTGGAACTCGGGTACATTTGAATACAACTGGGCTTTGATTATTTCTCTCGCGTATGACTATGTAGTTTGGAATTTGCGTTTTGGGTGTTGATTAAAGCAAAGCTCGGTTGGGAGCACGACGAATTAGTTTCTGCCCAACTACATGTATGCTCGCGGCAGGATCATGAATAGAGATTGTATGGTTTGTCTCGATTATGCAAATAGAACGCTGAAGTTACTTTTCTTTTTTTTTTTTTTAGGAAAATTGTTTTTTACGAAGAGTAAAAATTTTGCTCATCTTTGAGAGAGAGAGAGAGATGGATTTTTTTAATATTCAAGTTTGAGGAAAGTCTGGGTTTCTAAATCTTATCACGGGGTCTGAGTGTCTTAGCATTATCATCTTTCACTATACCTCGAGCTCCTTTTAATTGTGGACATTCTAATTTCAAGAGCTGAAAATATCACTGTTACACAACTTCGTCTGCGCTCTATTTCTAGATAATTTTAATTTTAAATTCAGAGACACGGTAACTGTGGATTGATTTTAACTTTATTTAAAAAGTACGGATGAAAAAATTTTTCCTCGTACTAATATTGAAATATGAGTAGTTGAAGTAAATATAAAAGAGTAACTCCAAACGATTGGGTGTTCCATCGCCACTGCCCATACTACTAATAATGCAAAAACAAAATTAACTCCGGAGTTCACGATTAAGTTAAAACTTTTGCAACATTCAATAACATCAACAATTTTCCGGCTCCAATGAAAAAAAAGAAAAAAAAAAAAAAAACTCACCACCGCACGCCAGGATAATAATAAAAGATGCCCTCACCTTGCGAGCCCACGACATTATTCGATAAACGAGCCAACGAGAGAACTTTCAACCAACCCACCTGTACGTGATCCCCGCCCGCTTTTCCAAAATACCACCCATGCACCGTATTCCCTTGGATTTTTACGCACCGCTGCAACCCAGGCGACACCATCGGTACACGCGAACTTTATACCGCGCAAACAAGTACGACGCACACAACTCTCGCTAGCCTCGCTCGTGTCCTCATTTCGCATGTCGCGCCCATGCACTTTGAATTTGTATACGGAATAAGCCGCGCGGGAATATCGACGAGGCAGCTGTTCCAAGGATTTTCAAGAATCTCTTACCCCCCCCCCCCCGGTGCATCGACGTTCCTCCATACCGAGGGACTCGCATTCCGGCCGCCCCTCGTGCCCTTTCCCCGATGCTGCTTTGGTTATTAATACATTCCCCCTTAACGCCGACGTAATCATGTCCTTAAAGGCAAAGCGACAGCCGGTTGATTGATTCTCCTTGAAGCTCGGATTTATTTACTTTTTTTGCGGCTGGATGAAAAATAGTGCATCGATTCATCATTGACACGAGGAATATACGCAGGAGAGGCTTTGCTTATTAGTTCATCCCCCTTTCATGTTCCGCTTGTATACAAGTTTTGACGTTCGGCAGTATGTGTTTTTGATAAATTTTGATTAGCAGCTCGAGGATCCTTCCACGGCACTCGGGAGATCACTCGTTGGTGTGGGTACGAAAAAAAAAGAAGACAGCACCGGGCAAGCCCTTCGATCGCACTTTACTTTCGGATTAAAAAGTAAAGAGCTCGGCCAACCCTTTTCCGATAGTAAAGGAAAATCCCTCATTTCCAACTCGAAACAGGGCTGGCGTTGGAGGTAGATACACGTGCAGAAAAAAAACGAAACGGTGGCCGTGGTTTATCGGGGTGGGAAAACTTTCTTTCATCTCTCGATTCTCACTTTGGAAATGGAGGTCGAGTTGTTTTGCGTGCGCCCGAGTTCGGCAAGGAATGCGGGGGAGGGGAAAAAAAAAGTTTCCTCCAAGACGACGGATTACCCTTGCCGCGCTCGTCGATTCATGATTTGATGGTTTTACGAGTTTAAAGTGCCGATGTTTATCGAGATCAAAGTTGGCGAGCACCCGCGTGTCGGAGCATCCGAGCAAACTCGCTAAATCAAGCGCGACTGTCGAGATCGATCCGATTGCGAGTTCGCTTGTTGTGTGTTTTTATCTCCGCTTGAATTTACTATTCCAGTTGAAATGGAATGGATTCTTTTTTCTTTTTTTTCTTTTTTTTTTCTTTTTTTTTGACGTGTATAATTAATGGCACGTATTGCTGATTAAGTCGGATCTCGTTGCTGTTTTCGATTCGCTCAGCGAGTCATGAAGGCTCGTTTTCTCACTAAAAGATAGGTATCTGTGCGCCCGTTTATTTGAGTTTTTCCTCGTGTCCGAATTCAGTGTAATGATTGAGTTGCGTAGCTAATGTTTTCGACTTGAATAAATGATGTTTGAAATTAATTATAATCTGATATTAAATGAGTTTTTTTATTCACCGTATCACTTTACGTTGCATCTAGAATTTACATAGAAAAACCACGACCAACAGCGGAATTTTTTATAAATTAGCGTATCAAAAAAACGATGAATGACTAATTTAATACAGAAAAATGTCAAGTTCTCCAACGCCTGGTGAATTTTACACCTTGCCATTTCTGCCTTGAAAGAATATTAACCAAAACTACTCATTTTATAAGTCCAAACCAAGAATTTCATAAGGTATATTTCCTTCCATTGACAAGTTTCAGAAATCGTATTTCACATCTCATTTATTGGAAGATAAGCTTCCAATTTTTCACTTCGTTATGCTCTCCTCACTCAAGTATGCCTCAGGAGAACGAGATGAAAAAAAAAAAAAAAAAATCGATCAAAGCGAAGCATCTCCGACACCATTACAGATTTACTTGTGTCAACTCTGCAGGCTTTGATCTGATTCGGCAGCAAGCACATAGTACCTACGTCTGCATGTGCTTGTTTATTGAACATAAAATGATGTTTTTCGGTTTTATTCGCCTATGACCTATATTATACACGTAAGACTGTATTTACGAGTGTGTGCACGTATTGTGGATATTATAAATGGAATTTTCTTCTGGGGAGAAATAAAAAATGCGCCAATCGCATGTTTGTCATCCTTGCTTTCGAACTCGTGCAGCAACACAAATGTGAAAAATGTAATGTTTTTATAAAATGTTTTTTTTTTTTTTTTTCTTTCGATTCGTCATATCTTCACTGGATGAAACTTACGTCAATGCGCAAACAAGGCCATCGTAACTCAAGCATCAACAAGACGTCGCTCCTTTTAGCCGTCAGAGGAAAAATAAGGAAAGAAATCCTTGCGATGACAATGCCACGGAGCTGAATGAGTCTCCATGGCCCTGGCGATAGCTAAAAGTCCCGTTCAAAGTTAGAAAAACAGCGAGTATAAGAACAGAGAAATTAAAAAAATGAAAAATAAAAAATAAAAAAACGGAAGGGAGGACGAACAATCCGAGCTAAACAAAGCAAAAGACCATGGGCAAAGGAGCGCGAAACGTCGTCCAAGAAAACCCACAATTACGTGGTTCGGAGGGAAGGAAGAGAGGGAGCACTGTCTTATTTGTTATTCCATTTCTCGTCGGGCGATCAAAGTCACGTCTCGCGCAGCTGTTGCGAGAAAAGAAAAAAGAAGAAAAATGAAAAAAAGGCGAAAAAGGATATGGCAAAAAACACGATAACAGAGCAGAGAATAGCTTTAATTGCAATTAGAAGAGAAAAAGTCAGGTCAACGCTCCGTATTCCAACCCTCTCGTGCGTTGTAAAAATATCGCAAGTAGCAAGATGGAGAGAAATTACGCAAAGGTGGGAGCAGTAGCTTCGGGGGTAGGATTTAGGATAAAAAAAAACTAGGCTATAATTCATGTGCAAATGTACATGCAAGACCATATTTTTCTTGTCGTATCGTGTATCGTTTGTCAACTAGTTGTTTAGTCGATACATTTGCTCGCACATTTTTACAAAAGTCAATCCTTGGAATCACGCTGATGATTGATTGCCGTTTTCTGCCCACTATATTACAACCTATCAAACTTATTTGGCAAAACTACTCAAAGTTATCGATTTTCCTTTTTTTTCTCTTTAAAACTGTAGTATGGGACATTGATCCTGAATAAATATTCTCTTTCACCATTGAGGAAGATAGAAAAGAACTGCACCCATCTCTCTCTCTCTATTAAAAAATAAAATAAAAAAGTGGGCCTAAATATTGTATCGAAGTAAAGTTAACATCTTTACGTCTCGGCTGTTGGGAAATTTCAGGTTTCACCAGCTCAGGGGTTGAAAACCCATACTTTGGGCTTCCAAACGAAGAAAATAGGGAAACACTGAAAATTTCATCGGGCCATTTGAACGAAGTACTACTTTAAACTTTCTAAAGCGTCACTCGATCCGACCTACCGACGGAATTAACCCCATACACAACGCGGCCAGGGGTGACTTGCGTGGGAATAAAAAAACGAAAAACAAGGAAGGCGGGAGGTGGGGGAGAAACCCCGAGACAGCCAATCAACGCAGCCATTGTAAGCACTAATGGTTTGTACAACGAGCACGTTCGCCCACCGCTCGAGCGATTCAAAGCACCAGCTTCGGATAAGCGTGTCTATATATACATACATAACTGTACACCCTCGGTATACAAACAACCAGCTCTATCCCTCTCTCTTTGCGGTTGTAAAACGTTCAGAGCAACCCACTGATCTTCTCTCCCCCCCCCGCCCTGCCTATCCCCTCGTGTCTCCCTTTGCCCACACTCTCTTCCTTTTTCACTGGCAGTATATATACACGCGTTTCGGGTACATATACGTAGAGTATCGTCATACAGATATATCCACGCGCGGGTGGATTACGCGGTTCGCGCCGGTGGTTCTTGCTGCAGCCGGAAATCTCGGTATCTATATGCACACCCGGGATCGGAGATTTCCGAAGCGAGCTCGTTGTATCAGAACGGGAGACCGATTACCTTGAGAGTCCGTGACGGGTGCTCCCTGCGTATACGTTTGCAGGTACACAACAAACCGTATCTCGCGATCCAAAGCTCCCCCCCCCCATTAGTCAT